CCTGGAGAGGATTAAACTGGGCTTCTCCTTGGAGGCAAGGATTCTGAGGCTTTGTCTGACATACTTTGAGCATGTGTCAAGGAGGGACCGGTCCTTGGAGAGGGACATCATGCTTGGGAGGTTGGAGGGACAGCGCAGGAAGGGAAGACCCTCTATGAGGTGGATTGATTCAGTGACTGGGGTAATCAGGATGGGTGTGTTGGAGACGGTGCGATTGGCACAGGACAGAGCAGAGTTTAGGGCTGTTGTACATAGGGTCACTATGAGTCATAAACGACTCAATGGCAAATAACAACGTAACAGCAACAGCAATCATAATAAAGAAGGGGGGAAAGAAAAGCAAAGATACCTAAAAATAGTTGATCCCGGGTCGGAGTCAGGGGGATTATATATCAATGAAGAAATTTATCTTTTCCTTTTCAAAGAGAGGAGCAAACTGGGGGGAGGAAGGTAAAGAAAAAAGTGCAACCATGAATGAATGAAAATCCAAAGTATCTGTAAATGTTCATTAAAATTAATAAAATAAAATTTCCAATTAAAAAAAAAATAGTTGATCCAAAGGCCTAATGGGTCATGTGAATCTCAATCTCAATGACTTGAGACCAGAAGACGTAGATGGTGCCCGGCCACCACTGCTAACCTCTCTCAGCAGAAGGTCAAACAGAGTGGGAGGAAAGAGATGTGGAAGAAGATTCAAAACCAAAGTAACAGCAGGCTTAGTGGTCTAACAGACACTAGTGGGGTCTCTGAGATTTGACTCTTCATCGTCCTTCAGGCCTGAAATAAAATTCAGCCTTGTGGCTCAGTTTTCAGCCCAACAATAGACAGGCCTATACGAACTTTGAGAAATGATGAGAGTTCTAGAAAAGCTTCTGGTCTTTTGTTCATAGGGTCACTATGAGTCATGCTCGACTCGATGGCAATCAATAACAACATAAGGTGACTACTTACACAGGGAGGTACCTCACTCTTTAGAACAATCAACCAGACAGGAACATAAGAGCAGCATTTGCCCAGGGAGAAAAATCAGAAAATAAGAACCTGATAGGGCAGAAGGATGAAGGGACATGCAAATCACTGGGAGGAAGTAGGAGGAATGCAGTTATGCCATGAATATAGCAATCTTCTAAATTAAAATGAATTATGAATGGATGGAAAGCCAACTTGCTCTGTAAACTTTCACTCAAATCACAATTTAAAAAAAAGTGATAACATCATAAATGATACAGCATATGCAATCCTATGACAGCAGTAGTGACATTCATTTGTGAATAGATATACAGGTAAATAGTGACAAGCAGCTGTGCCGCTGCAAACCCAAAGGCGTGTGGTTCAAATCCACCAGCTGCTCTGCAGGAGAAGGATGGGTAACCTCTTCCTGTGCAATTAACAGCCTCTGAAAATCCACTGGAGGATGAGCTATGGGTCAGTTCTGACTCTACGATACACAACAACATACAAGTAAACAACAACAAGTAAATGTTGTTGTTATGTGCCGTGGAGATATTTTGGATTTTCATTTTCATTTTCATTCATTCATGGTTGCACTTTTTTCTTTACCTTCCTCCCCCCAGTTCGCTCCTCTCTTTGAAAAGGAAAAGATAAATTTCTTCATTGATATACATACAATCCCCCTGACCCCGACCCCGGATCAACTATTTTTAGGTATCTTTGCTTTTCTCCCCCCCCCCTTTATTGCTGTTGTTGTTACATTGTTATTTGCCATCGAGTTGCTCGCAATTCAAAGCAACCCTGTGTACAACAGCCCTAAACTCTGCTCTGTCCTGTGCCAATCGCACCGTCTCCAACACACCCATCCTGATTACCCCAGTCACTGAATCAATCCACCTCATAGAGGGTCTTCCCTTCCTGCGCTGTCCCTCCACCCTCCCAAGCATGATGTCCCTCTCCAAGGACCAGTCCTTCCTTGACACATGCTCAAAGTATGTCAAAGTATGTATTCTTGCCTCCAAGGAGAAGCCCAATTTAACCCTCTCCAGGATGAACCTGTTTGTTTCCTTAGCAGTCCATGGTACATTCAAATACTCTTCTCCAGCACCACAGCTCAAAGCTATCAGTTCTCCTTCTATCCTCCTTAGTCATTGTCCAACTCTCTGATGCATAACAAGTGATTGTAAAGACCATGACTTGTATCAGACACACCTTAGTCTCCAGAGAGACACCATTGCTCTTCAGTATTTTGGAGAGGTCCCTAACAGCAGACTTTCCCAATACGTCTTTTAAATATGTAAGCTAAATAGGTTAGGGAGGCCATACGGGAGTACACCTGGGCACACCTATAGTCGTAGGGGTTGGTATTCCTATGTAAATGCTGGATGTATAGTCACACAGATCAGAGAAGAGACACAGACTACATGAGCTTCAGGACAGAAGCAGTGGACGTGAAGTCTAGGGACCGTAGCCCCAGGGAAAACGAGGCTAGATGGGACAACCGGCTGTGTTCTACATCTTTGCCTGGTGAGTGGCCCTTAAAAGCATCTAAGGACCACCTGCTGGTATCTTTCCACCTGGAACAAAGGAGAACAAAGCAAAACCAAGACCCAAGGGAGCAATTAGGCCATAGAACTGCTGGTCCATGTGAACCACGCCTCCTCTCACCTGAGACCAAAAGAAGAAGGTGGTGCCTGCCACCACTCTCCACTGCCCTGCCCAAGACCACAGCCAACGGGCCCAGTCAGAACAGGTGATAAATGTATGACAAAAGTCAAAGTGGGTATAGTACCCAACAGACTTGACCATCTGGTCTGAGAGAGACTAAAAAAAGCCTAGAGACCATCTCCGGGAGACACGTGGCTCCTTTGAAACTGCAGATACTCCCACGTCCGCCCTCAGCCAAATGACAGGATGTAAAAACAAACTGCAATACCTTGAAGCCTGTGTGTCTCAGAACAGTCAACCACAAAATACCAAAAGGGCAACATTCACCCCAAGTTAGAGATGAGAAGAGAGGGAGAAGCAGGGAAACCGGACTAATGGAAATGGGAAACCCAGGGAGGAAAGGGGAAGAGTGCTGGCACAGTGCAGGAAGTGTAACCGATGTCACAGAACAATTTGTGTGTGAGCTATTGATTGCAAAAACTTATCTCTTACATAAACTCTTAGCCAAAGAACAAAGAAAAAACTTAAAAGAAAAAGAATCTGGGCCGATTTCTTCTCTCCCATGTGGGAGACCCAGGTTGATTGCTGGTGAATGCATCTCAAGCTCAGCCACCATCTGTCTGTCAGAAGAGGCTGGCGTGTTGCTGAACAGCAAAATAGCATCCACACTGAGACAGACTAGGAAGAAAGGCCTGGTGATCGACACTGGAAAAACAACCCATAGCTACCCTGCAGGTCACAACCGAGTAACCCAGCCCTGGCTGACTGAGCTACTGCCATCAACAACAATTCTAGTCTCACGTTTCCAGAGCAGCACCTGCGGGGGTTCAAATGGTTCACTGCAGCGAAAGGCTGATGGTTTAAATCTGCCAAGCGGCACTGCAGAAGAAAGCTCTGGCAATCTGCGTCTATAAAGAAGACAGCTCTCGGTCACAGCGACGGAGAACAGAGAAAGGCATGGAGGACTCTTCAGAGCAGTTCTCCTCTGTGCACGCGGGGTTGCCGTGAATCAGAAGAGACCAGAGCACACAGCAGCTCGCTTCCAGAGACCCATCCCAGCCACCGCACCTGCCCAGCCCGTTTGCCTCGTACCTGCCTCCACCAGCAGCTGCGTGCCGTTGCCCTTGCCCTGCACCAGGTCCGGAATCTCCACAGCCGCACAGCACACGTAGATCCCGCTGTCGTTGATGCTCACCGGGCCCAGGCTCAGCGTGAGGGTCCCTGGTGCCCGCCAGGACAGCTGCCCCTGGGGCCCACAATTCTTCTGGTTCAGTCGGCCATGGGTGATGAGAGCATGGCACAGATCCTTACCATTCTTGTTCCACACGAAGCGGAGCCGTTCCCAGCCCTGGTCATGTGCCATGTGGCAGGTCAGGGTGGCCTGGCTGCCCTGCTCCAACGGAAGCGAGGCAGGTGCCTGTATCACACTCAGTCGTGTGGTTCCTAGTAGGGCTGGGGGATGGGAGAGGTGGGCAAGGACTTACTCAGGGGGCTGTGCGTATATATGTGCGTGTGTACACATGCATGTGTGTGTAGTGTGTGTGTGTGTGTGTGTGTGTTAGCCTAAAGGGATGAGGCATTCAGGATTTGCCACCTTGCTGGCTATAGGATCTTGGGAGGATCCCTTCTTTTGAGACTCAGTAGTCACATCTGTGAAATGGGTCTAACTTTCTCAACTCCATGAAGGTTCCGAGATAAGCTCTCTGATAGGTATAGCTCTCAGTCACACAGACAACAGAGAAGGGATAGAGGTTAGTGATGAGGGGAGGGGGCATTACCTGTTGAGGAGGTGACGTTTGAGAATGGGTCTGAATGACAAGAAGAAACCAGCCATGGGCAGACCAGTGGGAAGAACATTCCAGACAGCGCAAACAGCCTGTGCAAAGGCCCTGAGGCAGGTCTGTGACTGGTGTGTCGGTGGAACATCAAGGAGGCTCTTGTGGCTGGAACAGAGTAATCAGGATGGACAAAGAGAGTAGGAAAGAGCTGGGAGCCAAGTGGGTGTCTGTGGGAGGGCATGGCAGGCAGAGGAAACACCCCGTGTGGAGGCAGGTCTGTGCCTGAGAGCAGGAAGAACAGTGGGGAGCCTGTGAGTGGGGAGCAGAGTGAGCAAGGAGAGAGAAGATGGGATGAGAGGAGTCAGCAGGGAGTGGTGTACCAAGACCTGTAGGCAGATGATGGGGGACAGACCGAGGCAGTGCGTGAGCAGAGGGGTAAGGACTGAGTTTCAAATGAAACAGGCCAAGAAAGCAAGGAGGAAAGGCAAGCCCACCTCAGTGCAGACGGACCACCGCGACTGAATAGAGTTTGAAGGTCACCCCTCAAAGAACCACAAGTCAATTTGAATGGGAAGAGAAAGAAGGAAGGAGGTCAGGGAGCTCCCTGCAAAGCGGAACCCCAGACCCGGTGAGGGGGCCGGCGGAACCAAGTGACAGGGTTAGAAACCAACATTACTGTGGGCCAGGATGTAGGCTGTCAGACCCCCAGGAGGGGTCCAGTCCTGTGTCTAGTCCCTGGCCTGTGAGTAAGGCCCAAAGGACAGATTCAGAGAAGAGTTTCAGGCAGAGGGATCATCTGGTACAAAGGCCTGGAAGTCAGAAGTCGGATTCACAGAGAAAGACAAGTAGTTGGTGTGAGGAAAGGGAGAGGGCAGCTGAGGCTGGGGAGGTGCGTACGGTGGGCGGGTCACCCAGACTGCAGTGGAGGGCCTAACCCCCCATGCACAAGGGCACTTTCTGAAATCTTCCAATCCCACAAGACCCAGTGTATCAGAAAGAGGCAGGTCTGCGTGACAGCAAAGAATCAAAGAGGTTTAGGGGGATGTGGAGGGGGAGAGACAGAGAATTGGAGTGATGGAGAGAGGGGAGGGGGCAAGGGAAAAGGAGCCACAGTACTTACCCCAGAAATGGATGAGGAGAACCAGCACTGTGCTCAGGGGCCCAATCCCCAGCCCCTTAAGGCCCCCCCAATTCCAGTCAGAGGCTAGTCATGCCCTCCCCCCAACTCATTCGACAGACTTCCTGCCACAGCGCCCGCCCCCACGGCAGAGGCCAATGTCTCAGGGCTGGGGACAGACATCTGGTGGCCAGGCTCTTTGGGTTCTGCTTCCTGCTACCTCGTGCCTCAGTTTCCCCAAAGTGCCTTTTTTTACTGAGGAGTGGGGAGATAGAGGTCTCGCATTGCACAAAATCTTTGCGGACCACCTGTAAACACTGCTGGGCTGGGGGCACACTGAAAAGACAGGTGGCATGGGGTGGGTTGGGACTGAATAGCAGTGTCCAAAGGCAAGGTTTCCCCATTGTACCCCCACATGCCTTCCTTTGTGTCTCAGGGGAATAAATTTCTGCTGGTGGTTTTGGGTCCCACCACAAGTATCGGGGCCCCTGTACATGACTCAGGGAAAACCCAGCGGTCCAGTTGAGAGGGATGTACAGGCTCTGGGGTTCCTCTCAGCCCTTCACGCTTCCCTCCCCAGCCGGAAGTAACCCCTGGGACCCTGGGAGCGGTGGTGATAGACCAATGGCCTTAATGTCTCACCCCCAAACCACAGCATGACCTCCTTTCTTACCCAGAAATGAGATGCCTCCAGCCTTCAAAGAACCTTTCCCACCAGCCACAGGGAGGCACCTTCACAGAAGCATACTGCCCACCCCACCCCCAACCTCCCAGCCCCCTCCAATTTCCCACCACAGCCCCAACTTCCCAGCCCCCTCCAGCTCTTCCTCTTCTCTCCCCTTTTGAAGCCCCCTCCACCTCCCCTTCCTCACCCTCAGCTGAGCGTGGATACTAAGCCAGGCTCAGCCAATGAGGTGCACGTGAGTCTCCTCAGCAGCCTCAGCTGTGAAATGGGTCTCCCTTGCCTTGCTCTGTGGCAGGCTCTAGGATGCACTCAGCTCTCCTTCGCAGAGTTATCTCCTCACGTGTGCCAGGCCCCTCCAGCTCCTCTCCTCTGCCTCATCTTTTCCTTCCCTTACACACAACCTCCAAAGTCTCAACTCCTCCATCTGGTTTCCCGATCTGAGGGTGTCACTCCTGCTCACACACTCTCTACGTGAAAGACAGAGCCCGACACAGGCATTCCTGGTCTTGTGAATTCTGAGCTGTTGTGGAAGTTCTGGAGGAGGAGGTACTGGAGCCTGGGGCTTTGAGGGATGGCCAGGAGTTCGGTCATTGGAGGTGGAAGAGCAGCTTTGACAAAGCCCTTGGTCTCTTCCTTCCTTCCTTCCTTCCTTTCGTTTTTAATTTTTTATTGAAATTTTAACGACAGTTTACCAAGAACTTGGATTTCCATTCATTCATTGTTGCACATTTTTCTTCCTACCCCTCCAGTTTGCTTTTCTCTTTTTAAAAAGCATTCCAGTGTTGCACAATTTCCTCCTTCTCCCCCCAGTCCACTTTGTTATGCACCTCTTGTTCTGGACTGTTGTCATGAAAATAATACCTAATCATATATTCCTTTTAAACAGGTCTTTCCCTTATCTGTTTCAATGCAGTGTACATTATTGATCCCCTCTTTTCTTAGTTTTCCCCCAACCCCTTTATCAGTCCTTTTTTATAACAGTAGCCCTATGCAGTATTTGTCCCTTTGTGACTGAGATATTCCACTCAGCATAATGTCCTCCAGGGTCATTCATTTTGTATATTATTTTATGAATTCCTTGTTTTTTTAGTGCTGCATAGTATTCCATTGTGTGAATATACCACAGCTTCTCTATCCATTCATTAATTGATGGACACTTGGGTTGTTCACATCTCTTTGCTATTGTGAACAACGCAGCAATCAACATAGATGTTCATATATCTGCTTGGGTGGCAGTTCTGGTTTCTTTAAGGTATATTCCCAGTAGTAGAATTGCTGGGTCTAATGATACTGCCTTCCATAGTGATTGCACCATTTTACATTCCCTCCAACAGTACATAAGGGTTCTAATTTGTCCACAACCTCGCCAGCATCTCTTGTTTGCTGCTCTGTTGAACTTTTCTACTGTTACTGGAATAAGATGATATTTCATAGTTGTTTTAGCCCTTGGTTTTTCCGCAATGCAAAGAGTGTGAGTGGTGAGGGTCAGATCTAAGAGAACCTAGAATGCCAGTGTGAGTGGACGCAAGAAGTTGGGGGAGAGGGGTGTGCAACTGGGGCTACTGAGACACCAGTTGAGCTAGGGTTGGTCCCCATGGAGCCCAGCAGGCCAGGAATAGAAGCCTGACATCCTGCCTCCCAGCCTGGGCCTCTCTGTCATCCTCACAAATGTCGCCTGGTGTGCTCCAGGATCTGGGACTCCCAGCTCCCTGCGAAACTACATTTCCCAGGCTGCCACGGCAGGCGCGCCTGCGCACTGCGCCCAGTGATGGAGCGCTGACGGGGGGCGCGGCGGCGGCGGAGAGGACTCGGCGGCCCATTGGCTCCCGGCAGCGGCAAAAGCAGCTCCAAGACCAAAAGAGCGAGCGGGGCCCGCGGGCCGGGCCAGGCCGGGCCAGGGCGTCCCGGGTGCAGCCATGGAGGACCAGAGGGTAGGACCCAGGCGGGGCGGGGCGGGGCTTGCGGGGGGGTGGGCCGGGGAGGGGACCAGGTGATGCCGCAGCGCCCCCCCCCCAGCAGCTCTGCGGCTGAGGCCCCACCCCCGCCCAGCCCCACCCAGACTAGACCCCCTCCAAATCCGGCATGCAGACCCCTTCAAGACCCCTTTATCATCTTGGCTTGGATCCAGGTGCACCTTCTCCATGCCTCCACTCTGCCTAGCATCCAGGTCCCTGCCCAGGACACCATCCCCCACACCTTTCATCCGGCCGCAGACTAGGTGTCCCTGGAGGACATCTCTCCAATTTAGCATGGGTGACCCTACGTCCCCAGAAAAGGGATTGAGAGCCAGAGGCCCACTCAACATGTGCCCAGAGGGCCACATCATCAAGACTTCTGCTTTCGCCCAGGCTAGCCACGCCACCCCCTCTTACCTGGGCTCTTTAACCCTGGCAACTGCTGTCCCCAAGGCTACCCCTCCACCCTCACCTCCTTTTGCTCTACTAATCCTTCCCAAGGAAAACCCCACTTTCAAGCTAGCCCATCCCCCTGGCCTTTTGCCCAGGCTAGCCTAGTCCACCTTCCCTAGGGTCTGTTCTAGCACACCTGTCCCTTCTCCAGGTTAGCCCATTTTTCTGCTGGTCCCATTTCCCCCTAGACTTTTCTTCTCCCAGGCTAGCCCTCTCCAGAGCCTGCCCCATCTTTAGGATAGTGGTAACCGGCTAGAGGCATAGAGGTCGGGCAAACCTGGATCAGATTCCAGTTTGTGGGTTCTGCCCTTCCCTGAGAGGTTCCCTCTGAGCTCCACTTTCTCCTTCTGTAAAAGGAGTATGTTCCTGGTACCTATTTGCTAGGCAAGTCGTCTTCTAGAGCTAGAGCACCGTAGCCCCCACTTGGGGCCTTGGAAGGCAGAACTGGGAAGGGGCTCCTTGGTGGGAGATCCGGCCAGGCTGAGGGACTCACAGACTGTGTATTTGGGACGGGAACAGGAGGCCCTGCGGAAGATCATCACCACGCTGGCTGTGAAAAATGAAGAGATCCAGAACTTCATTTACTCTCTCAAGCAGATGCTGCTGAATGTGGAGGTGAGGGAGACTCCACCCCCAAGGGAGACCACGCCCCAGGAGGGGGGTAGGCCACGCCCCAGGTGGTAGACCAAGGCTGTAGGCCACGCCCCAGGGAGGTAGGCCACGCCCAGGGATGTAGTCCAAGGCTGTAGGCCATGCCCAGTGATGCAGGTCACGCCCCAGGGATGTAGGCCACGCCCCTGAAGGGCTGGAGCCGCCGGCAGTGAGTCTGTGTGGGTCCAGCCTCAGTCTTCCTATCTGCACAAGGAGTTTGTCCCTCCCGGCCATTCTGCCCCTAGTGTCCTCTCCCAGGCCAACTCAGTCAAGGTGCAGGAGGACCTGGAGGCAGAGTTCCAGTCCCTCTTCGCCCCGCTGGAGGAGCTGAAGGAGAGTATGCTGATGAAGATCAAACAGGACCGAGCCAGCCGCACCTATGAACTGCAGGTGGGGACAGAGGGCGGGCTCCTTTGAGACCCCCAAACCTGCCCCTCCTTCCCTGGCCTCAGAGGTGCTCCTAAGTCTTCCCCACACCCCATCCTTACTTGCTGGACTAGTGTTGGCTCCCCCTCTCTCTTAATGACTCAGGGCTGCTGTCATAGAAACACCATCAGTGGGTGGCGTGAACCAACAGAACTCTATCTTGTCGTTCAGGAGGCTGTAGATTACATCTCATAGAGACCCGAGTTCGAAGCCTCGTCCTGTCCTGCGCAGACTCACAGTCACTGCTGATTAAGCCCATTTTTGTAGCCACTGTGTTAGTTCCTCTCCTGGAAGCTCTGCCCGTTACTTGCTGACCCTCTGCCTTTACCAGCACGGTGTCCTGCTCCAGGAACTGGCCCCTCCTGATAACACGTCCGAAGGATGTGCGATGCTGCCTCACCATCCTTGCCTTTGAGGAATATTCTGGACGTACTTCCCCCAAGACAGATGTGTTCGTTCTTCTGACAGCCCATATTGCTGTTGTTAGGGGTCTTTGAGCTGAGTGTGACTCACAGCAGCCCTGTGGACAACAGACCTGAACCCTGTCCTGTCCTGTCCTGTCCTGTGCCATCCTCGTCGCTGACACACTCGAGCCCATTGCTGCAGTCACTGTGTCAGTCTGTCTGGTTGAGGGTCTTCCTCTCTTGCCCATCTTTCCACCTCTCTGAGCATGGTGTCTCTCCAAGCCTCTCTGAGCAACATGCCCAAAGTGTGAGAGATACACGTTTGGCATCTATGCCTCCAATGATAGTATATCCCTTTTTTTTTTCTCCACCAACACCATGATTGAGTCGCTGGAGTCTTCTCCAGGTTGTTGGCTCTTCGGAAGGAACTCTCCTCTGCTTGTAGAGTGGCCTCTGTCTTCTCCCATCTCTGCTTATTTATCTTAATCTACTCTTTTATTTTAAAAAAATCTTTTTTTAATCTACTCTTTTCATATCTCAAGGGAGATTGACTCAAAACACGCCTCCCACTAACATTGTCTCATTAGCCTAACAAGGCTTTTATTCCCAAATGAGATTAAACCACAAGTATCATATGATTTTTGACACGTAATTCTGGGGGAGTCAATCCAATTCATAACATTGGCCTGGCCCAGCCATTCCAACTTCCCCCTGGACCCTCACTTAACACCCTCTCATCCTTCCCTTCTGCCCCATTTGGCTGGGTCTTTTCCTGCCCTTCCACAGTGCCACGCACAGGGCTCCCTGGGTCTGATGGTATCACTTCTGCCCTGATGCCTCCCAGGTTCCCCTGGGCCTCAGACTCCAACCTGAGCACCCTTGGGTTGTATCCACGTGTCGGAGACAACATCCTCAAACCTCTGAATCCCATCCCCCCCCCCAGAGCCTGTGAAATAGTGTGCTGAGGTGTGGCCAGGTCTATGTGCATTTTTAAGAACATGGTCTCCACGGTGGCTGATGGTTGGACAAGAGAGAGCATGATGAAGTCGAGGGCTGGAGGCGCTAGCCTCTCCCTCCTTCCTGGAGTTCAAGGACTGAGTGCAGTGTACCAGAGTGAGGCAGGGGGAGGGGTAGTGAGGCAAAAGGGCTCAGAGCACCTGGGAACGAGACCCATGGGGTGTATTGCTACAGCTGCCGGAAGCTCTGAGCATCTTTAAGCTGTTTCTCTGCTTCTCAAGCTCCCTTCCCTTCCTCTAAGACCCCTTCAAGTCATTCCAGTCCAGCGCCTCATGCTGGATCCAGCCCTTGGACCCCACTGTCCACTCCAGTTGGCAATGTCCCAGGAGGTAGCTGGTCCACTTTTTGACCATCAACCTGCTAGAAGAGTGTTACCATATCCCGAAGGTGATGGGGGTCGAGAGAGAATGCAGTGGGGTGGGGTATCTGGCACTGTGCTGATTGGTGGCACTGTGTCACCCACAGAACCAGCTGGCCGCCTGCACGCGGGCCCTGGAGAGCTCCGAGGAGCTGCTGGAGACAGCCAACCAGACCCTGCAAGCCACAGACAGCGCGGACTTTCCCCAGGTGGGCTCTGCACACGTCATACTGGGAGGCATAAGATACAGGACCCCATGGAAACATGAATTTCAGATAAACAAGGCGTGTTTTAAAGTCTAAACATGGTCAGTGCAAGATTTAATATGAGGATGCCCCAGATATGGAACCCTCGTGGCGTAGTGCATACGTGCTGGGCTGATAACCCAGAGGTCAGCAGTTTGAATCCACCAGGCCCTTTGAGGTAGAAAGATGCGTCATCTCCTCCCTTAAAGTGAGGAGGGTTGCTGTGAGTTAGAATCAACTCAATGGCAGTGAGGTGGTTTTATGTCCCAAATACTTGACAAGCGGTTTATCTAAAAGTGGTTCTCATAAGTGGTTTACAAAAGAAGTGGCTTATCTCACCAAAATGAAAAAATTAAAATTTCACAGCAAATATTTTTAATTAGTTTTATATTACACTGATTTATTTACAAAGTTTGACCTTCCCATTTCCTTCATCCATCAAATTGTGCAGTCTTATGATTAATACTCGACATCCCCCCATCCTCACCTTTCTATTTCCACTGTCACCCGCACCTTGGATCCTCATACTCATTCTACAATAGTGGTTTTATACAGTATTTGTCCTTATTGGACTGAATTAGTTCACGCAGCATAAAGCTCTCCAGCCAAGTTAGGTAGTAATTTACAAAATCCTTGCTCCTGCGTGTGGTGTAGTATTCCATTATATGAATGTACCATAACTTCTCAATCCATTCGTTTGTGTTTGGACATCTGGGCTGTTTCCATGTTCTTGTGACAGTGTATAATGCTGCTATGAACCTTGGTGTACAAGTTTCTGCTTGAGCCTCAGTTCTCATTCGCAGCAAATATTTTTTTTATATTTTTTTTATTTTATTGTTTTTGTGTAAGTGTACCGTCAAATCCGATCTGACTAGTACAGGAGGAGATTGTCCCTCCTTCCTCAGCAGAGCATCTGGTGGATTCAAACTGTGCGCCTCTGGGATTGTAGTTGCAGCTCCTTACCACTAGGCCACCAGAGCTCCCCGACAGCAAATATTTTTAAGGCTGAATATATCCTATGCAATGGTTGAGGCCAGTGTATCTCAAATACTATGTGGGAGATAGTTCCACGATAAAATTACTCATTATTTATCTAAAATTCAACTGAACAAGAAGTCATTTTTAGTGTGAGCATAGCCCATGCACGATTTAGTTATATATATGTCCCAAATATGGCATGAGACACATTTTCACTAAAAAAAAAGTTACTTATTAAGTTGTTATGTTGTTGTTAGGTGCCGTCGAGTCGCTTGCGACTTATTAAGTAAAATTCAAATTTCACAATAAATAATTTTTAATACCAGTATATCCTATGCAGCGTTTCTGTTGTTGTTGTTGTTGTTGATTGCCTTTGAGTCAAGCACAACTCGGAGCGACCCTATGAACAAAAAGCCTGAAGCCCCTCTAGA